GTCCAGAGAACATAGATCACTTCAGCAGGAGTTTCTGGTTCAATCACCTAAGGTGTGGTCCAGGAATGTGCATTTTAAACACACACTCAGGTGATGATGATATAGATGGATGAACTTTGAAAAACACTGTATTAAGAGATGGCAGTCACTTTATAGGACAGTTGATCTAGTCTGGGTTCCCTTGCCTTTGTGTTTCTCTTCTTCCTCAGCCATATTTGTGTCTTTACGCTGTCATGGTCCATATATATATACACATATATGTGTTGTAGGATGTATGAATGTATGTTTTGGGGAGGGCAGTAGGTAGAAAAGGAGGGATTGTGAAGTTTAATCAGGGACATAACTTATTCAAACTTATTCATTGGCGTTAGTATAGCAGAAGAATCCCTTTGAAAACACTTTCAAATTCACTCTTCTCTTTACCCCCAGATGCTGATTGACTGGCTCCCCAGGTGTTTCTGAAATCTTATCACTGAGAACCACTAGTTTAAGAGCATTGCCACAAGATAGTTCATAGTTCAGTGAGATTTGTATGTGATTTGTATGGTATAGGTCCTATTCCCACATCTGGATCCTGGTTAGTAAAGTAGGATAGGCAGAGTACAGGGCCAAGCCTACTGCAAACACCTTTCAAATTGCAGATGCTCTTGCTGCTTGAGCATTTGGTGGAGATACCCAGACRTGAGCATAATCTGGGCATTCTTAAGTCCAATTGAGAAGACATGGTAATATGGGAGAGGGGAGGATTGTAGATGTGGAACAATGCTGAGCCCCTGCTAATTATTCATTTGAGAATTTTAGTCATTGTTTAGTCATTGTATAAGAATGTAATATAGCTGGGTCAGCCTGTGTTGCCTTTCCCCCTTTCCTTGGATAGGTTCAGTTTCTTTCTGGTTCACCTATAAACACTCATCCTACTTCCACTAGCTTCTAGTCAGGAATTTCTCTGTGGCTGGGGTACTGCAAGAAACACCAGGCTCAAACTGCAAATAGGGAATGACATTTATTCCATGTCTGTGCTTTGTATGGAAGGCTGGCTGGGTCCTCTATGTCAGGGAGAGTCACTGGGTGGTCATGCAATTGAGTCATCTAGTTTTTTTGCCCGGTGTTACATTCTTTCTGTAGTTTCCCAGGCAGGGCTTTTCCTCAGTGCTACTTCCTATCTTTCCTCAAACTTTATAGGCTGTGATCTAGGTCTTTTACAAATGTTCTCTCTTGAATTTTATTTTGTCTGATCTTTTCATGTTATATTCAAACTGTAATCCTGTGGACCTGGTGCTGGGTCTTCTGTTTTTCTTGTAGCAAGCACTTCTTATTGGAACATTTCTTCCTAATTCAGTCCTCTAGACATGACACCCACATGCTTATAAATTTCTGACTAATTTTTGAGAGAAATACCTCCCTATTATGGGGCTTTTTCAGTTTTCCCTCTTTCAGGATGATATAAGTGTTTTCCCAAAACCTTCTTCCTACCTATAATCCCAGTGACTTGAAAGGCTAAGGCAGGATCACAAGTTGGAGGCTAGTTTGGGCAATTTAGTGAGACCTTGTCTCAAAATAAAGAATAAAAAGGTACCAGGGGTTTAGCAGAATGGTAGAGTGTCCCTGGCTTCAATCTCCAATACCACAAAACAAAAATAAAAACCCCAAAAGTTTACTTTTTTTTTTTTTTTTTCTGGTACCAGGGATTGAATTACTCAGGGGCAGTCAACCACTGAGCTATATCCCCAGCCCTTTTTTGTATTTTACTTACAGACATGGTCTCACTGAGTTGCTTAGCGCCTCACTGTTGCTCACAATCTTCCTGCCTCAACTTCCTGAGCTGCTGGTATTACAGGTTGTGAGACACCGCACCTGGCTTAAAGTTTACTCTTGATTTTTCCCTTAGCTCTCCCTTCTCTAGATTTCAGTTATTTAAGGTCCTTTCCCATGGGTTAAAGTTCAACATTTGGTCTCTCTTCTTGCTAATGGTTACATTTTCCTCTTTCTGTTCATAAGGTTTCCCTACCTACTTTTGTGTGAGGAAAATTAGCATATATTGAAGAGTGTACACTTACAGGAGTGTGGTTATGATCTGGAGGCATGTTCCTTGTGCCTATGCATATTCCCAGGGTACGATCTTTCTTGCATTCGTGTGTATCCCAATAGATATCTTGGCTGGGGTTTGCTTCTCCTTTGGAGGCTGGACTTTCTTGTTTTAGCAGTACCATTTTATATATAGAGAGATCTCTGTTTCAGGTGTGTGAATATCTTGTGTGCATGTGTGTAGTACTGGGGATTGAACCCAGTAGTGTTCTGCCTCTAAGCTACATCCCCAGCCTTTTTTTTTAAATTTTACTTTGAAACAGGGTTTCACTAAGTTGCCATGTTGGCCTCAAACTTGTGATCTCCTGCCTCCATAGTAGCTGGAACTAGAGGCATGTATCATCATGCCTGGCTCAGATGTGGAACTGTATAGGGATGAATGATTGGATGAGTGAACATCTTAAAATAGATGAGGGTGGTGGAGATTTGGGGAATCAATGATCTATTCTATATACCTTGAAAGTGGATAAGGAATAAATAGAAGGGGGGTGTTATTACTCCAGGAAAAATTGGCTTTCTTGGTTTGTATATATGCTTCTGTAAGTACACTCCAGGGCTGGGGGTGGGTGGGTAAGAACAGTTTTCTTTTTGCAGTCCTGTTGTAGACACTGCCCCATTTGGCCACTAGTGCTTCATATGTTTTTTTATATTCTTTCAGAAAACTTTGATTTTTGTTCCTAGTTGACAAGTGGGCACCTTAAGCCATCTTCATAGAGATTCTGGTTTAGAGCAAGGACAGCCAAGATCATTTATAGGTCCTTTCACCTCCTGCCTCCTAGTAATGATCCTGGTAGTAAGAAAAGACCTGAATTTGGGTACTTCCTTAGGACCTGTGTATGTTAGAAACTCCAAGCTGTGGAAGACCAGTCTTGATCCATCCATTCAGGCTTAACTTTATGGATTGCTGGGGTGATGCTATAGAATAGATGTTGCTGTGTCAGATGTTTTGAGTTTGTCACTCCACAGGATCCTGGTGACTTAATGGTCACCTCTAGTATTCTGCGTAGGACTTGGCCTTCTGTCTACCAGAATGGCCACCATTAATTTCTCTCTGGAGCAGAAGGGCTTCTGCTAAGAATATCAGGTCTGAGACAGGGGCTGGGGAGGAATGCTTCCAGCCACTGGAAATGTCAAATATGTACCCTCAAGAAGCATGTTGATTGATGTGTCAGTAGAGTTAGCCAGACTATTTTGCCCCATAAATTCCAGGGTTCCAGGTAAGTACAGCTGCTCAGTCAGTTTCTGTTATCACTGTGAAGGACCTGAATGTCTCCCAGCCTGGGGTTGGTTGGGTTTCAGGGGTGTTTGGTGTTGGAGGGCAAGAAGGGAAATTTATGGCTACATCAAGTCTTAGTGAAAGCATTCATAGTTCAAACTAAAGCCAACCTTTCCCAGCTGTAGGTCCCTAAAATGCATGACACCATACCTTGAATTCCATGTCAGGTATTTGCTAAGGTTTTCTTTTAAAATGTTTCATTTTCTCATTTTTTTGGTCATTGTTTTCAGATTTTATATACAAGTCACATTCCCAGAAAGCACAGAGTGAAAAAGCTTCTTTTCTCATACACATGCTGCTAAGAAAATAGTTTTATACACAGAATTTCAACAGGAGAAAAAGAAAGGGAGAGAGGAGTGTGAGAGGGATGTTGAAAAGAAGGAAAGGAAGGGTTGAAGCAAGCGCTAGACTTCAGTGGGTTAGTTGTTCTTCCCTTCTAGTGCCTACATTTATGACTGACATTTTTGGTATCATCTGAATAACTAGTTCAGCCAATTGTAGCTTACCTATAATTGGCTGAAGTTGGAGTTCTGAATTTTAAAACTGAATGGGACAAGATGTGAAATTCACAGAATACATGGGGACTAAGGACTAAGCTGGATTTTCTCTTCCTCACTCCCCTCCCATGTTTTCTGCACTGCTACTACTACTGCTTCAGTATAAACATGTTCAGAGAGCACAGTGTTTGAGAGACTGAAAAACTAAGTCCCAGAACTGGCTGACTTGTGAATATTAAATGGATAATGGTGGTGGAAGCAGTGTGAGGGAAGAGATCTTGGGGATAAGGGAGCAGGAGACATATCTGGAGGACATGGGAAATTTTGCAGGCTTTTCTTGCTAAAACAAAACATTTCATTTTCTACCCTGTGCCACTTTAGCTGGGTTTGGGGGTTGTCAGAATTACCCCCTGGTGGTTACAGAGTAAATGAGGTTGGGGTGAGGAAGCTTCTCCTAGGTCATTACTCTTCTGTTGTTTCTCCTGGTGATAGTATCCATCAACTAACATCAGCTCTAGATCTTGAGATCTAGATCACAGATCTTGATTTCTTTGGAATTGTCTCCAGCAGCTGCTGCTTAATGGAGGAGGTGTGCCCTTCTAGGTCAGATGGAGCAGGAGCAAGGGCAGAGGACAAAGGGGAGGAAGGAACATGGGGAACAAAGAACCATGCAGAGGCAAAGGAGGTTCAAGAAATGTCTAAAAATGTGATGGCACCACAAAAGGAAGGAAACTATGTTTATGGAAAAAAGGAAATGAGAGGAAATGGAGGTAAGTGAAAGGGATTCATACCTCGATTTCAGAAACCAAACTGCCCCATCTACCCCTATTTTCCTGGGACTGCCAGGATAACTTCTGGCAATATTGACTTTCTGACAGCTAAAAATGAGGATATTACCCGTGATAAATACTCAGTTCAGGACACAGGGACATGTCTCCTCAGGGTCCAGGCCCTTTCCCTGTTACCAGACCTCCCTCTGCACCTGGGCACTCACTGTAAGGGGAAGGCTGCACTGCTTCCAGTCCTGTGAGGATTGCCAGCCCCCAGAAAGGAATTAAAGCCATCTGGTCTTCCAGAGATGAGGTGGTCTAAAGAAACCCTTATGGGGGAGGGGGACACAAACAGGAAAAAAAACACTTGTTTGATGGGAGAGTTTTCTTTTTTTTTTTTTTTCTCTGTATTTTCCAAGTTTGTTTTTCTTTAGTTCATTCCACTGGTCTCTCCATCTCTCTTTTGTGCGCAGGTGCACGCACTCTCGCTCTCGTTTTTTGGTTGTGTGTGTTTCAGTTTTTAAAAGAACTTTGGATTTGCCGTTGGTGGGCAGCGCCGGTCCCTGGAGGCTGGACCACCCCATGGCAGGGCTAGGACAAGGGGCAGGTCCACGGCTGCTGAGAGGATCTCTGTGTTTAAAGCCTTTGAGAATAAGTTACTGCAGTTCCCAGGGTGTGGGGTGGGGGTTGGCAGAGGGGTTCCTGTCGGCGGCTTCCCCTAGAGTCCAGGCCGCAGTAGACCCCATCAGGTGAGGAGAGGGTTTTGAGGGATGGGTTTGGGGAGAGTGAACTGGAAGCACTTCTCCCCCTGCCAACCTCCAGTTTGGTTTAGAGTTTTGTGGGCTCCCTGCCCATCCCAGGCTCCAACTTTGGGAGCCAATTGGGTTTTTGGAAAGAGTTTGAGAACGGTATGTCGCTCTAGACAAGGAGGGTAGGAAGAAGGGGGAGTGGCAGTTTATTTTCCATCCCCCTTCTTTGTCTTGGGTTTTCTTTTTCCTTCTTTCTTCTTTTTCGTCTTTTTTTTTTTTTTTCCTTTTTTGGTGTTTTCTCAGTTAGTGGAATATTATGGGATAGTGTGTGTTTATAGAAGTGGGAGGGGGGCTGGGAATTCATTGGGGAAATGGAAGGTGGAACCAAGAGAAGGTTTATGTATGATACACAGACAGGTATGAATAATCAAGATGCCAAGGGGTATGTGTGTGTCTGTCTATGAAAACATATGGGCAAGGGCTACATCTGCCAGGAGCTGAGGAAGAGGATCAAAGTGTGTCTGTGGGTGAGGGAGGAGGCAGGACTCTGCTGGAGGTGGGGTGTGTGAAGCCCACTGAGGGTGGGAATTGAAAGATCCCCATGAGGTGGGCAGAGCCAAAGGTTGGGGTGAGGGATTTGAGTTCCCACCAAACACCCCTTGTGGTAGAAGAGGGAGACCTCTCCCCATCTTGGTTAATCTGTTTATAAAGCTAGAAGTGTAGAGGTAGTAGTAGTTTTTGGGTTGGAGTCCGTGTGAGGTAATCTTGCTTCCTCTTTGGCAAAAGCCACAGCAGCTGGAGCAGCAGTGGCGGCGTTGGTGACTGTGATGGGTGGGCCCCCTGGGGGTGGGGCCGCCTTGCGCCTGTGGGCCGAGGAGCGCAGGTGGGAGGCCAGGGCTTCACGCCCACTCAGCAGCACCTCACACGCCAGGCAGTGGTAGGTGCAGATGGGCACTCGCAGTGGGGGGGGCATGGGACCCCCAGAACCCCGTCCAAAGAAGCAGAAGGATCTCTGGTGGGCAGTAGCTGGGGCCTCCCCTTCAAATGCCATCTTGCATTGGCGGCACAGGTAGCGATGAGTCACATCCACAGTGGAGATGCCAGTACTGCCTGTCAGCAGCTCATCAGCCTCCCCAGCTTCCCCCTCCCCAGGAGCAGGCAATTCAGGAGGCTTTGGAGGTGCTGTGGCTGTGGGCTCAGGGGGCTGGGGTGGTGGCTGGAGGAGGGCATTGGGGAGYAGCCCAATGAGGGTCTGAGGTATCACAGGGTTCATGGGAAATAGCCCCTTCTTCATGCCATAGAGCTGTTGAAAGTAGGCCCCCTGTAACTGGGGGCCAAAGACAGCTGGCGGTGATGTCCCTGCTGTGGGGGGTAATGGGAAGGGCAGGAATTGGCCCCCCAACAGGGCTGGGACAGTGGCCTTCAATGCTTTGAGGTTCTTGAGGGCATCAGTGGAGGGGTTGGTAGGGGCCACAACTGGCTTTCGCTCACCAGAGACCTTGTCCCCGGAGGGCTCGGTAAGTGGGCCCGGGACAGAGTCCGTGGTGCTTGCTGTCGAGGTGTCAGTTTGGTCGGGCACAGATCTCTGAGGTAAGGGGCGTCCGGGGCCAGCAGTCTGGACCACTGTGGTAGCAGGCAGGACTGAAGTGGCAAGGCCAAGGAGGCCTGAGGAGGCTGCAGGGCCTAGGAAGATGAAAAGAGGGACGAAGGGTTCATCACCTCTGCCCCCATTGACCTCTCTTCTCTCAACCATGTCCTTCTATACTCACATTCCCACCACCCAGCTTCCCGCCCCCCTTCCCTCCTTTCTCCTAATAGCTGGAAGCAAAGGAGGACCATAGGGAAAGACTGGACCTGGGAAAAGTAAAAAAGGCAATGAAGGGCATGGCATTAAAGGGAGATGTTCTCAGAAGTCCAACTCCTCCCAGCCTTCCCACTCACCTGAGCTGAAAGGAGCTAAGCTGTTGAGTGGTGGCTGGGCCAGAGCTGGGCTGGACAAGAGCACTGGGGCCAGGCGAGGCAGGGCTGGGGCAGCTCCAATGGGCACTGAAGCAGGTGTGGTGACAGGTGGGGCCTTGGGAGTTGGGGGGACCTCAGGTGCTGGGGCCAAGTCGTAGCACTTGCTTTCATTCTTCAGCTGGGCTCGGACTGCCTCTTTAAGTTTGGCCAGGTGCTGGCGGGAAAAAAGATGGCCTCGGCAGGAAACATAGAAATCATACTTCACATCACAGTAAGGGCAGTCGGTGCGCTGGGCTGCCAAGGGGCCCTCGTTGTTGCCCCCACTACTTCCCACAACCACCCCCTGCAATTTGGCCTTCTTTTCCTTGGCTCGAGCATTCTGGAACCAGACCTGAATGACTCTCTTGGGCAGCCCAATCTCTTCCCCTAGCACCTCACACTCCTGCATGGTTGGGGTGCGGTAGGCTTCATAGCAAGCTTTCATGATCTTCAGCTGCAGGCTGCTCATCTGGGTCCTGTAGCGCCGCTGCCCCATTCCATCTGGAATCCCACTCCCACCTCCCAGCCCCCCACTGGTCCCTCCACTGGGGGACTCTGGTTCAGCTAGGCTGGAAGCAGATGAATCACTTAGGTCTCCTGCAGATGGACTGCAAGCCTCACTTTCTGGAGAAGCTTTAGATGGTTCCTCTGGTATCTCATCTTCACTTGGTGGAGCGGGTAGTGGGAGAGGTAACGGTGGTTCTGTTGATGTGATGGCCTCTTTCCCAGGTGGCAGGAAAGGCAGAGGTCCTGCAGTAGGGGTGACTGTAGGATAGGGAAAAGCAGGTGCTTCCCTCTTTGAGGCTTCTCTCCCAGTCCCATCATCCATCTTGCCCAATAGGAGGTTAAATTTGGGGAAAGGTGCAGGGGTGGGTGTGACAGTGGGTTTGACTGCTGGACTAGGCACCCCTCCAGGAGTGCTTCGAAACTGGCCTTTCCTCTCCCGGGCCCTGGTATTCTGGAACCAGACCTGTACCACTCTCTTTTTGAGCCCCACCTCTTCAGAGATGCAGTCAAGCATCTTGCGTGTTGGATTGGAGTCCTGCATGTACCACCGATACAGGATCTCCAGCTGCTCAGGCAGGATGGTAGTACGCAGGCGCTTGTCCCTGGGGGGCTCACCCTCCCCTCCACCCCCTACTTCACTGCCTGTGGGGGATAGGCTGCCCTCTTCATGCTTCCGTTTGAGGGGTGGGCCTGGCACTGGTGGGGTCCCTGCCACCAGAGGGTTTCGCTCCCCAAACACTAGCAAGGGTAGATCTAAGAGCTGAGGGGGAGCACTGGGTTGCACAGATGGCAGGATATGTAGTCGGCGGTGACTTGTCAGGAGGTCCTGGCTGGGGAAAGTGATGCCACATTGGTCACAGCTGTGAGCTGGGGAAGGTGAGGGAGGAGCTTTCCCTTCTGGCTCTTTGCCTCCTGGCTTTGTTGCCTCTGCCTGGCTCAGCTCCTCCATTTCTGGAGGTTCCGGTGATGGACCCACAGGCCCTGCTGGGGGCTCCAGACTCTGTTCCTCTTCTACTTCTTCCTCTTCTAACTCTTCCTCCTCTTCCACTCTCTCTGCCTCTTCTTCCTCCTCTTCAGGGGTCTGGTCGTCATAGCATTTCTTGAGGTGCCGCACCAATTCAAAAACACAGGAAAAAGTGGTGTGGCAGCGCCTGCAGCCAGAAGCTCCCCCTGTGCCTCCTCCCGTGGGCACAGGCCCACCCTCGCAGGCATTTTTTCGTGCTTTTTGACGGGCATTCTGGAACCACACTACCACCACACGGCTAGCTAGACCCAAGAGACTTGCGAGCCGCTCCACCTCTCCGTCCTTGGGGTAGGCACTGGTCTCAAAGAAAGACTGCAGGGCCTGGGTCTGGAACTCCGTGAACTTGGTTCTGGAAAAGCGGCGGCCTGGAGGAACTAGGGGAGGAAGATTCCCTCTGGAGCTTTCTTCCTCCTCTAGGGGCCAGCGTCCTCCTGGCCGGCTTCGTTCTTCAGGAGCACGGGACCCTCCTGCTTCAGGCTCTGGGACCAGGAAAGGTGGGCCCAGTTGGGGAGCAGGTGGCTCTAGAGACCCATCAGGAGGCTTGGGAGGCTCCACAGGGGGTGGGTAAAGGCTATCATAGCTCTTTCGAAACTGAGCTGCATACCGGCTCAGAGCCTCAAAAGGCAGAAAGCGGCGATGGACATGCTCCTCATGTGTCTTGAGGATGAGCATATTGGAGAAGAGCTTTCCACAAGCTCCACAGGCCAGCTTGTCTCCACCCGCTAGGGCCTCTGGGGGAGGAGGCGTTGGGGGAGGGGGCACAGCCTGCTTTCCTTCATTGTACTGAATCACCAGCTCAAAGCCAAAGTTTTCTAGAAGGGCTTTGGCCGCAGTACGGGCAGCCTCATTGGGTGATGGGTGGGGTGGTGAGGAGGGCCCTGCCTCACTCCCCTCCTCTGCCAGGGGGGGCCGCTCCCATTCCTGCTCAGCTAGCTCAGCCTTGGGGCGTGGGGGTGGGGGAGGTGGAGTGGTAGCTGGCARGGAAAGCATAGGTGCAGGCCCAGCCAGTGCCAGCTTGGGCCCCACCTTGAGGTCGTGGAGGTAGAAGGGCAGGAGCAGCTGCTGCTGTTGGAGTTTAAGCAGTGATTCGGGCACTAGAGGGAAGTGGGGTAGGACTGGTGGAGTGAAGAGAGGGGCTGGAAATCGGTGCAGGTCCAAGGGAGGGGGAGGTGGGGTTAGGAAGGGCAGTCCAGATATGAAACCACTGGGGTCAGGCCCCTTCTTTTCAGTGCCCACCTCCCCCTCTGTCTCTCCTTCCTTGGGCTCTTCTTGACTACGCTCTGGCCCCTCAGTCTTGGCATCAGTCTTGGCCCCCCGTGAGCGAGTCTGATGCAGAACTGATCGCATGTGGATCTCCAGGGTGGAGCTCTGGTTGTAGGAAACTCGGCAGACTGTGCATTTAAAGGGCTTGTCTGTGGTGGCAGCAGTGGTGGGTGGGGCACCAGCTTCTCCCCGACTAGGGCCAGAGGGGTCAATGGCCGCCTTCTTCATCTTATGAAGATGGGAGACAGAATTATAGTGAACCAAGAGGATATTCTTCTGGGTAAAGGACTCTTTACACACAGTACACTTATAGGGCCGGGCAGGATCAAGAAACTTGTCAAGGGCAAAGTTGGTGGTCTTCCGATAGGTCAGAGGGTGGCGAGAGTCAGCTGGGGCTAGCTCTGCAGAGCGGGGCTCCCCCACAGTCCCCTCTTCCTCCTCAGCCATTGTGGATGGAGGAGCCACTTCTTCAGCTTGGGTATCAGGCCGAAGGACAGGAGATGGGGCTGAAGAAGAGGGATGATCAGGGCTTCCCGAGGGCTTGTCTGGGACCTCAACCTGGGTCTGGGGAGGCTCAGGAAGAGGATCTGGGCTGGCTTCTGGGGTCAAGTTAGGGCCTTCTACAAGAAAGAAAACAGGATATGGTGAAAAAAGGCTACTTTGGTCATCCCTCCATCCCACCTCCCAGATCCAGGGTGACAGACCTGGCCTCAGTCATCTAGGACCTTCCTGGTGCATGAAGACCAGGTCCCCTTTCCTGTCAATTGGAGATGTCCTGCTGTCCCCTTCCTTACCTGCTGCCTGATCTCTGCTGGGTGTGGGCTCTAGTCCAGGGGTGGGGGGTGCTGGGTCGTCCTCCAGAGGGCTTAGTATGGGCCCAGGCAGCACTTTGGTCATAAAGGTCATCTCTACAGTTGTGGCCTACAATGTGAGAAATCTGAGTAGCTTCATCACCATAACCTACCACCCCTATACTACTCCAGAACCCTCTACACTGTATCTATACCTGAACTGTGCCAAGCTCTTTCCCCAGAGATCCAACCTCATCTCTGGATAAAATGTCCACCTAATTGCTGCCTTTTCCACAGATGAGGATGTAGACTCCTGCCTCTCTTCTCTGGTTATCTCCTTCCCCAGGCTGAAAATCATCTTTTCTTGAAGCCACTTGGCCCTTGCAAGTCAGTGCCTGCTGTCACATAACTGTTCTCGGGACTTAATGGAAGTGAGGGAAAAGCTGTTTTCTCATGCAGAAGCAGAGGCAACTAGATAAGCTCAATGCTGAGCATCCCCCAACTCCAGAATCCCACTTAAAACCTATGAAATGCTACTTTCTTCAATACCAACACATAGGCTTGCCTGAATACGCCTGCCTCTTCCTCTCCTCCTGAACAGCCCTGATAGGCTCTACTACACCACCTTCACCCAGCCCATCCATACTCACCACAAGAAGCAGCTTTTCCACACACTCAGGCACCACATTATGAAGGTGGCTGAGGTGGAAGTGCAAGGCAGGCCGTCCTACCAGCTGCTCCTGGCACAGTGGGCACCTGTATTTAGGCTGCACTGCATGCTGAGAGAGAGTATGAGCCTTGACCTGGTCAGACTCTGGGCTCAGGAAGCTGCAGTATGGACAGCAGTATACCTGGAGAGCACAGATGGGCAGAAGAGGAGGTGTCAGGCAAGGGGGAATTCACCAATGACACAGTGCTTCAGGTTTTTCAATGTAGCATTGCCCCCAACTCCTTATGTAGCCGGGTAGGAAGGCATAGCAGCCACCCAGCCTCTGCTGAAAGTCCTGAAAGCTGTCTCCTCCCTTGTCTCCCTGGGCCTAACCAAGGCTCCTATCTTGCCTTCCTTTTTTCTCTGGCCCTTTCCCACCATTCTGGCTTCTATCATTATTTTAATTTTTTTTTTTTTTTAATTTGTGTGTTTGTGTCTTTCCCTTACTCTGAAGCCCTATTACAATTCTCCAGCTTATAGATAGCCCTGTACCTGCCTCTACCTTTTCTTTCACACATCCATCTTGTTTCTTCTTTGTGAGATGCCTCCATTTCTTCTGGGTATTTTCAGGACCCAGGGGTCCCTTGTTCCTTCCTGCTTTGCCTCTCCATATTCCCTGACTTTCTCCTGTAGAGGGGCCCTACCTGTCTGCTAGGAAGCAGCTTTCTCCCTCTTGCTCAGCAAGCCACCCACACAGGTACCTTTCTTAAGATAAACAAACACCACAGCTCCCCTAGTGGCCAAGGAAAATTCTGGCCTGGCCTTGTCAGCACAGTCTCACTCCACACCTCAGAGGGTGGAGCCCTGAGAGGCTGATGTCGCCTGACTGCCTGAACATCCTGCATTTTGCATGCCACCTCAGATCAGGCTTGTCTCTGGCTCACTTACTTTCCTGTCATCTGTCATTGGTCTAGGCCTGCGTGTCAGGAAGGGGTGGTTACAAAGGAAGGGGATCCATGTGCTCATCTAAGTGCACCTGCTAGGTCTGCAAGTGGGAACAGGAGTTGGGAAGAGGCAGAGCTGAGGACCCAGGCATCTGCATGTTTCCCTCCAATTTGGAAATGGCAGGGTGCAGGTTGGCTTCCTGAGACCAGAGGCTGGGAATCCCCTTAGAATCAACATTTACAGGCCAAGAGCTCAACTACTCCTGGGTCTTGCCTAAGTCCAAATCCTGGGAATTTATAGGTCTGTGGGACTTGCTATGAGGGTGAATCACTTGGCTGGTGCCTGTACCATCAAGGGAGTGCCAGGACAGTTCTGTCTGGGCTCAGGGATTCTTTTCTATGCAGCATGAATATCGATGTCTAGTTCCTTCTGCAGCAGGTCTTTTATTTTTGCCTCTCTCTTCCATCTACTTTCAATTTTTTCTACCCTCAATTTCGTTCCTCTCTTCACTTTTCCCTCAAATTCCTGTTGTCCCTTCCTATCATCTCCTACCCTGTTTCATCCCTTGGGACCAGCTCTGCCTGGCATGTGCTGAACATATGAATTTCTGGCTGGAATTTCTCACATGTTGTATTCTGAATGAAATTAGTGATAAGCATGATAAAAGCCTTTAGAATATGAGCAGATCTCAGTAAAGTTAGACCGCCCCCCCTCCACTTGTCCTAGTTACCCCAGTTCTGACCGTGGTCTGGTTGGCACTGTCTCTGGAAGGCCCAGTCCTATTCTCTGCCTCTTCAGAAGCTGAAGATGAAAAGAAAAGAGATTAAGCCCTTCCTCTTCCTTTCACAGATCCCCCCAGCCCTTAAGATGATTTATAGCAAAGAGCTTTCAGGGTAGGGGGTGGACTCTAGAGAAAGGGAGAAAGGGCAAGAGTAGCCAGTAGCCAGGTGAGGCCTTCTGGGAGCAATTCCAGGTTAGCACAATGGTTAGGTTTGTGTCTTCAGAAAGGGTGGAAGCACCTACACTTCTATGGCTCAGTCTCCCTTCCCTCTGATGAGCACTTTCTTTGATCAGTTTTGCTCCTTAATGCAGGAGACCTTGCTGGATGCTTGAATTTCTATAAGGTCCCATGAGCATCTCAGGATGTATGAGGATGGGGAAAGGGAAGGAAAGTGGATCAGAGGAGTAACTCACCCAACTGCTCTGTCTTGTTCTGGGCATCTTTCTCAGGAGTGGGTGGCTCAGCTAAGGAGGTGACAGGAGCCTTCCCTGTGTAAGACAGGGAGAGTCAGCTTAAAGAAGTGAAGCATCAGGGAAGGGAGGGCAGAGGAAGCAGGATAAGCAGCCACTCAAGGAAGAAGAAAAGGATGATGAATCTACCAAAAAGAAACACTCATACAGAGGGTCAAGGGAAAAATTACAGAGTCAGAACTAGTAGAGCCTAAGAAATCATCTTGTGTGAGTCCAGCCCACTGTGCTTTTTTAGAAACAAGCCCAACAGTAGGCAACAGAAACTGGACTGAACTTGGCTCCACACCTTGACTGACCCTGGAAGCAGGGAGCCCCAAGACTGTAATGGGAGGGGAACTCAAAAAAGAAGCTGAGGTTGAATGGCAGCAGCGGCTATGGTGAGCTGGAGGCCGCAGGTCTAGCTGGGAGAGGAGATTACCACTCAAGTAAGAATTGACAGATGTGTAGGAATTTATTTTCGGTGGCAGCCTAATTAAAGTGTTAAAAGTTCCTTAACTCCATTCAGTCCTGCGCCAGGATCGTTAGCTATTGATCTGGGCCCCTCCAGCACTTAACTCCAGCCAGCATATTGGCAATTCAATTAGCACCAGTCAATGCTGCCTGTTCCTGGTTCCTTCTGCCCGTGCCCTCACCCTCGCCCACCACTGGCCTCTCCAAATCCCAGAAACGCATGCCCACCTCTGACAGCTCCTCCAGGCTCGTCTCCTGTACCCTCTGGATCAATGGCACCTGGCTGGTTGTTACCAGCCTCTGCTGGTACCACCTCAGCTGCCTAAGGGGGACTCTAAGCCCAGCCTTAGAGCTGAAGACTTCCTAGGAAACAGGAAGAGTCTAGGAAGCTTGTCAGGACCTCTTCCCATCCCTGCTGCCTTTGAACCATGCCTACAGCTCCCATCTCTTTCCAAATCTTGGCCCAGCACAAGTCAGGTTCTATCCTTTTCTTTTTTCTATCTTTTGTTTCCCTCTTGACCAGCTCCAGCCTGCTGCCTCTTATACTCAGTGGTGCTAGGATACTAGTCACTGCTCAGAATCACGGGGTGATTCCTCCTCACCTCCCTTTCTATTCTTTTCTCTACCCAGCAAAGTCCCTGTCCTTCTCTGCTCTCCTGCAACAGCCTGTCGTTCCTTCTCATTGCTGGGCAGCCCCATGTTCCTGAAGCCCACATCACCTATTTTCATCCTCTCACAGCTCCTTTCTACTTCTACTGGTGGCCCACAGACCCATTATGTGTCTGTCAGGTCCCTATACCCTGATGCCCTCCAGTCCCCACTTTCTCACCAGGAGTTTGGAGTGGCCCATGGCTGAAGCTCAGGATGCTTTGAAGACCTGAGAGTCCTTCCTCTGCTGTCGGGCCATTCTGTAGCAGCTGTAGACGCCTCTGGGCCTGGGCATCACGGTGGGCAGGGGCACGCAGGTGTTGCAGCACAGCCAAGCGGGAGGGTGTCTCCCAGGCACAGAGCAGGCAGCGGTAAAGCCCTGGCTCTGTGCCCACCTCTGCTCCCTCCATTTCCAGCAGAAACTAGAAACATGGGAAGATGCTGGCATAGGCCCAGAAGGGACACCTCCAGACCTCAGGGGACTTGTTTGCCTCCCCTAATGGAGCCTGACTAGCAGGACCTCCCCACCCCATTCAACCTTCCATCCTCTGGGCCCTTTTTCCTTTTTATGGCCACCTGAATACTACTGTTTTTTTCTCCAAATTTCTTTCTCTTCCTCCTACCAATCTTGGACTCCTTCCTAGTATGTGAATGGAAACTTATTCCATCCTCTTGAATTTCTGGTGATGTGAAGGACTGAGCTAACATGGATCCCTCCCTCCAGGCCCAGATATCAGAAGAGCTGAATAAAGTCTATTTCACTTCATCATGATCTACTACTCTGGTGTCTTTCTTCAGGTCTGCCCAAACGGTTTATAACTCTGGTGTATACTTCTTCATTTCTGTCACCCTGAGTTTTTCCATCACTTCCCTACTCTGCAACTCTCCCCTCCACCCCCACCCTTTTTCCCTTATCTTTCCTGCCTCCTCCTGCCCCAGCCTCACCTTATAGATCTGGCTGTTCTCTTCATGGGCTGACCCCCGGGCATGCAGCTGCATCTTCTCCTTGCTGTTGGACTCAAAGTCACAGATGTTGCAGCGCAAGTGCAGTGGGGAGACAGACCCATAAGGGGTCCCATCCCCCAGGGGGACTGGGGAAGGGGTGCCCATGGCCCCACCCCCCTCCCGAAGGTGGGCTGCCAGCTGGTACTTCTGAGCATGTTTGTCAGTCTTGAGGTGGAGCTGGAAGTTGGCCTTGAGCTGGGTGCCATAGCAGCAGAGCTTGCAGCGGTGGGTGTCACCTGCCACCTCCTTCCATTCAGCTTCTGGGAGGCTCCGGCCTACACTGCAGTGGTAGAGCAGCAGCTCCAGGCTGTCTGTGCTAAAGGCCTGGCACACTAGGCAGCGGAACACCTTTGGGGACGGGCTATCATCTGGAGGTGGTGAGGTGGGTAGGCCGTCTGACGAGGAGCCCAGGAGCTGACTTGGAGGCAGATGGGTCTCTGGGGAAAGGTTGCCAGGGGCTAGAAGACAGAGATAAGATTAGTGCCCAAGGAAGAGATGGTGCAGGTTCAGTTTGCTAGGCAGGGAGGCCAATTAATGAGTAGGAGAGTGCTCAGAGGGAGTTGTGGTTACCTAAGTGGGGAGCTGGCAGAGAATAATTTGGCTTGGGTAGCGGAGAATAGTAGAGTTCAGGGAGCTTACCAGGTGTTGGAAACTTGCGGGCAGGTGCTCCAAGGTGGTGGAAACCATTGAGAAGTAGCTGGGCTTCCAAGGGCTTGTCTGGCCTCAGCCCAGGGCCAGGCATGGAAGTCTGAGGCTGCCCTAGGACCTGGGGCCCAAAGTACTGGAAGAGTTCAGGGGGGTTGTTGGGGGCAGCTCCTGGTGGGGGAGGAGGCCCTGGCCCTACCAGCCCAGGTGGCAGGCCCAGCGGCAGTCCCTGGTGCAGCATTAATACATTCTGCATGTGCTTCTCAGAGGTCATATGGATGCGTAGGTTGCGGGAGATGTTTGTCTCATAGCTGCACACCTTGCACTGCCAGGATGATTTGGTCTTGGGCTCTTTGTCACCCGTGGAGGGTGGGAGTGATGCCTCTGGGGGACTTCCCTGTCCTCCCGGCCCTGCCTGGAAGCCCTGCAGGTTGGCAAGGTGCTTGTCAGACTGCATGTGGATGCTGAGGTTGCCTTTGGTGGTGGTAGAGTAGTTGCAGACATCACAGCGATAGGGCTTATAGCCGCAGTTGTAGCTCTCTCCACGAGCAAGGCGGGGGTGGGCTCCCCCGGCGCTGCAATAGCTACAGTGACTGTTGCTCTCAGGGTGCTTTTCCCTCATGTGCACATCCAGAGTCTGCTGGTACTTGTAGTGCCAGTTGCACTTGGGACACTTGAGTGTCTTGCAGGAGTTGCGTGAATGTAGCAGGGACATGTGGCTGGATAGGCTGAGGCCCTGGAAGGCCGCAGGGGCTGGGGTGTAGTCATCAGCCAGGCGGTAGGGCTGGGGTGGGTCGTTGGGGTCTTCAGGGGAGCCCACTGGAGCAGGAAGAGTTGCCCCCTCCTTGGAGGTGGGTGAGCTTTGGTTGAGTGGGGGACAGAGCCCTACATCCTCTTCTTGCCCCTCAGGGAACCAATCTGGCCCTGCCTCGCCTGCTGCTACTGGCGATTCTTTGGCTTGGGTTGGGCTGGGGTCCCAGGTGGTTAGGGTTGCAGGTGGGGAGGGTGGGCTGAGAGCCATGACTTCTTCAGCAGGGAGGACAAGGCCCTGGACTTCTGCCTCAGGAGGGCCATCCTTGGTCTGGGCTACATTCTCCTCCATGTTTGCTGTGCTACTGTTGTCAAGGGGCTTTTCAAGAGAGGGGCAAGTGAGGGATTTTGGTTCCAGAAAGCTTATGAGGGCCATGCAGCCTTCTTCCCCCTCCTGGAGCACAGCTGGGCTACACAGCAGGCCCTGGTGTTGGGCAAGAGTTAGCTTCACCCCATGAGACTGTGTATGCCCCATAAAGGCCTGGGGCCTGCTGAAACCCAGACGGCACAGAAGGCAGAGCCAGAAAAATGCCCTGTGGTCTTCCCCTTTGCTTCCTATGGGGCCATCTTTGGGATCTCCGGGTGGGTTTGGAGCCAGCTGGTAGCTCCAGAAGGCTCCATCCCTTTCCTCACAGGCAGCCGGAGATGGTGCTGAGGTATCATGGGACAGAATTTGGTCAGAAGAGCTAAAGCCTTGGATTGGGTCAAAGCCATGTTGAATGTGAAGGGCAGTAAGATGTGCAGGGGGTGGATTGGCAAGGAGGGGCAGGCTGGGCTCTTTCTTGATGCCTGCCTCACCCCAGGGGAAGCCCTTTGGTAACAGGAATTCACTGCTGCCTGCCAGGGATAGCGTGGCTACTAGGTAGGCCTCGCCACCAGCTGTGAAGAATAAGTGGTTTTTCAGGTCCATGGGAGGGAGCCCTTCCTCCTCCTGCTCCTTGTCTTTTCCCACCCCCATATCCTTTGGTGGGAAGTGACCATAGCCAGGCTCTTCTTGGGGCTCCTTTGGTGGGACAAGGCCACAGCCTGACTCCAGAGGCTGTCCCCCTGGCTCTGAGGGCCTCATGCTCTCAGAGGTGGAGGGGGCAGCAGGGGGATCTTTGGTGACAGGATCAGAGGGGGTGCTGGAGGAGGAGGTGTCCGGAGGTGGGGACAGGGCATTGTGCCCAGGGGAGGGGGTGGTGCCAGTGGTCGAGGCTGAATTAAGGGTGGCCATGGTAGACGGAGACGTGCTGGGGGTTCATTTCAGCGTGCCAGCCAGTACCCTGCAGGAAACATGGAGAGACAGAGCTGTGAGGCCACAGGGACCCCAGCCAGGCTAAATCTCTGGATACTTTAGCCTCATCCTCTTCCGTAAACACCATACTCAGACACCTGCCTGCCAACTTTGAAGCTTTACTCAGTGTCTAACAGACTTTGAAATTAACATGTCCAAAGTCAGAATTCATTATTTCTCCCTCAACCTGCTTCTCTTGCCTATCTCGAAATGGTATCTTTTATCTAGTTGCTTAGACTAATAGCGTAAAGTTTTTTTCTTTTTTTCTTGCTTGCCTTTCCCTGTGTCCATTTCTATAGCAACCTCTAGAATGTGTCAAACCCTGCACTGATCATCTTTGCTACTAGCACTAGCCTGATCCAGGCCATTATCATTTCTGAACTAAAGCAACAGACACATCCACATTAACCTCCCATTTCTACTACTGCCCCTTCCCATCTAGTCTTCTTCCACCCAGCAGCCAGAATGATCTTTTATTTAATTCCCAATTATGAAAAGTGCCAAACATTTATAATACACCAAATTATATGAAACAGCCTTTTTTTTTAAACCCATCATTCAGCTTCATCAACCATCCACTCATGACCTGCCTATTTTCTCTGTGTCCCCACCCACTTGCCCACCTTTTCATGTATCATTCATTTTATTTTTTGATACCAGGGATTAAACCCAGAGGTACTTAACTACTGAGCCATGTCCTCAGCCCTTTTTATTTTTTATTTTGAGACAGGATCTTGCTGAATTGCTGAGGCTGGCTTTAAACTTGTGATCCTCCTGCTTCAGCTTCCCAAACTGCTAAGATTACAGGTGTGTGCCAATCATGCCCAGCTCATAATTCGTAATTGTCTTTTCTAACATGTAAATTATACTATATTCTTAAATGCTTAGAACCCATCAAGGTTTTATCATTGCATTGTGATTAAAATCCAGACTCCTGTACCTGACCTATAGAAGGGCCTGCCTGCAAAGGTACATTTTTTTTTTCCCCTAGTACTGGGGATTGAACCTGGGATGGTTATCCATTGAGCCACATCACCAGCCCTTTTTATTTATTTATTTAAATTTTGAGTGAGGGTTTCATTAAGTCGTTTAGGGGCTTGCTAAATTGCCTAGGCTACCCTCAAACTTGTGATCCTCTAGGCTTAGCACCAGGTCACTCCAAGGTGAATTTTAACATACTCCATGCTGCCTTGCTCTAGCCCACTGGCCTTTTCTTTTTGGCCTTTCTGTTACTCAAACATGCCAAGTTCATTCCCACTTGGGGCTCTTGCCCAAGTGTTTGGTCCCCCTGGAAAACTCTCCCCGCACAGTTTGCACAGTTTAACACCTTGACATTCAGTTCTCTRCTTAATATCCTCCAGCAGGCCTGCCCTCTCTACAAAGCTAAAACAGCCCCCAGGGTTACTTTCTTCAGAGTTTTTTTTGCCACCTGACATTTCCTGGCTTACTAATCTCCTCCCACTAGAAGGTAAGTTGCATGACAGCAGGGTCTCCCTTGTTCTAGCTGTTCTATTACTAGTACAGAGAATGGTGCCTGTCATAGACTATGTCTGTTTTTTTTTTTTTTCCTCCAGTACTGGAGATTGAATCCAGGGGGCATTTTACCACTGAGCTATACCCCCAATACCTCCCTTTAAAATTTTTTTTTTTTAATTTTATTTTGAGACAGGATCTCACTAAATTACTTAGGGCCTCACTAAGTTGCCAAGGCTGGCTTTGAACTTGTGATCCTCCTGCCTCAGCCTCCAGGTAGTTGTGCGCCACCACACCCAGCTAGCCAGTGTCTTTTGAATGAATGAACTTTGGAGAAGACCCTTAGATTTTTCCAAACCCTGAAGAGATAAATTTCCTAAATCAAGGTTTTCTTGCCAGAAACAGGCTGTAATTGATCCCCCTTGCACACAGGCATTGTGCTGCTCTCTGATGATTTCAGATCCATCTCTGGTCAGGAATAGGTGGGAGTTTCCCTGACCAACTGAAGGACAACTCCTATATTACTCCCTCTCTGAAGAGATGAAAAATAATACGTCATAGAAATGTTACTAAAAGCTATTAAAGTACATGCACCATGGTCCTGGCACTATGCTAAATGCTTTTCAGGTAGCCCATTTAATCTCATAGCAGCTTGATGGTCACCAGGCTCCAAGGTGGTAAAACTAGAAAAGGATACAAGACAGGCAAAATGTGCCTCCAAAGAACTAGAAATCAGGAATCCTCAGCTGCCTTTAGCTTACAAGGCTCCCAACATTTAAACCATGATCTTCCCCTCAAATTGACTAACCTTTCATGCCTCTTCCATCCCTTACTTCACCGTGTCCCAAGCACCCATTTACATCTGGTCCCACTATCTCTATCAGCAGATCTCTAATTATTAAATTTCTAACACTCAGGCCATATGCTTCAGGGAGGGCTTAAGCAGGATGACCTTTTTCCTTGGGCCACCTCTAACCCTCACCTCCAGATTCCTAGATTTGGAATATCTTTGGTCTGGCCCCATCCAGCTAGCAGACCCCAATTCTCACTTCATTCCTCCTCCAAAGGGGGTCCAGCCAGGCGTGAAGTCAGAGCCATTARGGAACTAGAGAGGGACTGGATTAGCATGATAATGAAAATGCAAATCAGTACCTGGGAAAGGGATGAAGGGGAAGGGAGGGGGCCAGTGTTAGAGAACCAAAACACAAGTGAAGGGATTGGACTGAAGAGAGTAGATTCCTAGATAAGCCAAAAGTTGTTGGAGGTTCTTTCTACATATCCTTGATGGGGGTGGGGTGGGGGATAGTGTGCTGGCTTGTAAGGATCTGACATGCCCATCAACCCCAACTGCTGGGCTCTACCACCCTTTATTACTCCACCAGGTAGGAAGAGCCAAGCCCCCTGCTGCTGAGGGCAGAGTGTGGTGGGTGCTATCTTCCAGCTGGTCCAACCAAAGAACCTTTTTGCCCACTCTGATGGCTCCTTCCTGGCCCAGTCTTACAATTCTGCATCACAGCTCAGAGGAGACCTAAGTAGACCAAAACCCCAGATCCCATGGGTATTCCAAGCCTCATTCTCCTAAGAGTCTAGTTCCCAGGCCTGGAAAAAGTGCTGATTCTTGGCTGCAAACCAAGGGAGCTAAGCTTCCAGCTAGCCTATGGGTGATACCCAGATCTACCCAGGGTAGGTAGACAGCTGTTTAAAATTGCAAATCCCTTCCCCACCTCCCAATCTACCCCTCCTCCTCATCAGGAAAGAATTTCAATTGCAAATTTGTCTCTGCCTCAGTGCATCACCCGAGCCCCCCCACTGCCACCAACTCCCCCTCTCCCTTTCTTCTCAGTGCTTCTCTCATCACCCACTATTTATTACAAACCTCTAGCTGCAGGTTTTTTTTTTTTTTTCACTTTTCTTCCTCCTTCTATTTACCTCCTCCTCCATCTTTTCTTCCTTCCCTCTCTGAATCTCCATGTCCATTCCTTTGCCTTTCCTACCTGGACTTGGAGATGACACAGAAAGACAGGCCTAAAAATCATCTCTACCAGCCTACCATCTCCAGGCTGAGACTCTTGTTCACCCTCGGACCTTCCTTTAGGTCCTGCCTTGCATAAGTGCATCTTTTCTCCCCTGGGACATGTCTCAGATGTTAGTAAAAGACAACCAGCAGAGGTCCTGGCATTCCTGCCTTGGAAGGAGGAAGCAGGCAGGTTTGGAAGAGTGGAAGTAGGGGACAGCCCAAAGGAAGGACCTGAGTAGAGGAGAGGGCTGGGGGCCTCTGTGGAAGAAAGGGGTTAGGGGAGCTGAGCAGGCAGTGGCAGCAGTGTGATTAGAGTGGAGATTGATGTGAAGGGGCGCCACAGCCGGCAGAGAGAGTCAATAAAACGAGAGGATCACATTAGAGGCGACAGAGAGAGCTTTAAATTACAAGGCTGCTGCCACCGAGGGGGATGGGAGGAGTGAGGCCTGAAGCCTAGGGAGGGTGGAGAGTTCTGAGGGTGTAGTTGTCCCCAGAGATGAATCTGCTAGCTCCAAAATGGCCCTGGTCTCCAATGCTCCCTTGCATTCCATCCTCCCTCTCTAATACTTCATTTTCTCAGAGGGTGAGGTGGGGAGGGAGGGGGAGATGAGAGAAACACAAGAGAATTTTTTCTTTTTCTTTCTTGGTGTTGCCTTCTTTCTCCTTCCACACCTGAATTATTGGTTATTCCTCAGAGTAGGGAAGGATGGAAGTTACTTTCATAGCTCAGCAGGAGTTAATGCTCTACAAACAAACGGAGTCATAATTACTGAACTGCAAGAGGTGGATAGAGATCCAGTACTTAGAAAAAGGAAGACACCAGGGAGTCAGGAGGCAGCAAGACATAACACAGGTCAGAGAGCGACAGACGTCTTGACACTGAGACTGAAAAGAGAAGGCAGGCTTGGACGTGAAATTGCAGAAACAAGTTGAAAGCTTATAAGGCAGGCTCTGAGCCACAGCAAGACGAGAAAACAAGTGCTATTTAACCAGAATCATGGGGGCAAAGGAAGGACCAACAAATGGTCTGAAAAAGGAGAGAATTTGCCCCTCACTGACAAGGAGCCCCTGGGCAGGTGCTGTGGCTGGCTGGTTAAAGTGAAGGGAAGTGGACCAGGGGCACTTCCATGAATGTGCAGCAAGACCAGAACTCCCTGTCCTACCTAACACCCACCAGGAGAAGGAAAAAAACACTACTGCTCCCTGGTGGTTATAGAGAGAACATAACTGGGAAGAGGGTAAGCCAGTTGGAGGCCATACTGGCTTTCTCCTGTCCAATTCCTCTCCAAAAAACACAAAGCAAAATCCATCTCTCCTTTCCTCCAAAACCAACTAACTACAGGGCAAAAGGTTTTGCATCCAAGTCTATTAGAAGGCAGCAACACATTTGCTTAAAATTTGCATATGATGATTTCTACTTCATAACCTTCCAAAGGTTTTTTGCCTTCCATTTTTCTTTTCTTTTTAAGAAAATACCTTTATTTTATTTATTTATTTTT